ATAGCTCGTCCAATTTCAAAATATCACGTTAATTTTTGTTTGTTTCTTTGTTTGTTTGAAAAGATAACCTTTAATGACTGCTTGCACCGATTTATTATTTTTTTTAAATAAAACTCTCTGGAGGGTGGTTGGCAGGTGCTCTGGTGTGGTTTGCTCCTTCTTTCCTATCAAACATCTATCGTCCTTATCTCCCTTCCTTCTTTTTTATGTTTGTTTCTCTCTTGTGACACCTCTAATCTTCTGGCGCTCATATGACCTTAAATGCAATTGCGAGCGCCGTACGTCTAAAACCTCTACTAAAACAAAAAATCAAAAAACTTTCTCGAAGCCCAACATTTATTTGTTCTGATTAAAGGCCTTTCTCTTTTGTCTTTGTAATCGTGTAAGCAAATATGATAATTTATTGAATTAAAAAATCGTGATGACTTTCAAGTGACTCGTACCATGCCGCCATACTCTGTATTTTGAATGTTAAGAGGACTTAGAAATTTTTCTTCTCTTTCGTATTATGGCTCTCTGCCCCCTCATAAGTTAGTGTTCGGCTATGTAAATTACAAATAATCGTTTGTTCAAATTGTAGCTTTGCGAAATTGAACCGAAGAAAATACAATAAAAATGGTAATGGAATTGTTCCAGAACTGTACGGTAAATAGTATGTTTATTTTCAACCTCAGGTGTACGCATTGGAAAAAACCCATACCCGTTTTGGGAAATTTACTCATGCACCTCAACCTTTGACGTTGAAAAAAATAGTATTACTCTTTGGTTATATTCGATTATCATTTAGATACATATGTATAACCATAAAGGCCTATATATACTTCACTTCTCATATTAATATATAACTGGCCTCGGCATCAGCTCCGCACGAATTTGCATTTTCTTCTTGGCCTGAGACACCCTTTTGAACTTTTCACTACATGGAATAATCCTTTGACAGGCATGTGCAATAATCGTATCCTTTGGCCAATACCATGCACTGAATTTGGGTCTGCCCTTACCCCTTTTCGATGCTTAAGGGGGTATGTATGAATTAATTAGACTTAGAGAGGAAAAACTACAAGTCCACCCTTACCCCACTTTCTGGGCCACACGCACCCCTCCCCCCCCCCTTTTTCCAAACACACACACACACACACACACACACACACACACACACACACACACACACACACACACACACACACACACACACACACACAGAAAGGCCTATTAATTAATATGAGATTGTGCTGTTGTGAAAGGACCGCAAATCGTCACTCCTAAAGCACATTTATTGCTAAATAATGGTGCTCACTGGTTACTTGACAAATTATTAATAATTCCAAGTTGCCTTTGTATGTGTTAAAACTTTTAAAAACACGACGCTACCAGCAGGTGTAAGTATCATATGTATACTAGTATCGTCGCACATTATATTGTTGCTGAAAGCTGAAGGCCAACACGTAATGTATAGGCTACCTCTCCCCTCTCCCAAAGAAAAAAAGTTTAAAATATAATTCAAACATCGTATCTAGGCTTATTGCTGTAAATATAAAACCAGCTTTAGTACTCAAATATTATGCACCTATATATATATACATCTTGATGCATTGGAACAGTGTTTTTTTCCCTTCCCTTTCTAACAGGTGTAGGCATAGAAAGAGCTTTATGTTTTGGTTCCTTAGGACAGTGATATTATAAAGACTGTTCACAAATGACATCAGCTCCGAGGGGGGGAGGAAGGGGGGGGGGGGGAGGGGGGGATTTGACAAAGTTGACATGGAAGGGGGCGGGGGTGTCCTTACAAAGTTGACGTCAAACGTGATGCTTTAAAAGGTTGGTGGGAGGAGGGGGGGGGGGGGGGCTATTTTCCGAGCTGAGATCTCGATGATAGTCCAAATCTTTTTGCTTTGTTTATTTTCCAAGCTACGTAGAATTCCAATCTTTTTGTTTTAATTATTTCGATTGGTTAAAGTTGTTAATAAATAATTTGACAGTTCAGGTATTTCTTTGTTGTATTCTTTAATAAACAAGAATTTTTTATTTTTAAAATTCAAAATAAAGATCAATTAGGTGTTAATATAATATTTGTGCATCATACGTATCGGTTCTCGCTGGTTGACATATAAAGGTGGGAAGGTAGGTAGGGAGGGGGAATCCTAAGAAAGATGACGGAAGATAACAAGGGGGGAGGGGGGGGGGGCATTTTTGGCCAAATTTTTAGCTGGCGTCATTTGTGAACGGTCCCAAACTAACTGGTACGTTTTCTTGACGTTGCCAGCAGTTACATACCCACAGCATACCCACAGTACAGTCATACTTTTCGGTATTTAGTATGGTGAAATACTAGTCTCGCGTAATCGGAAGAAGTGTCGCGTGATTAAACATGGCGGATATAGAACTGTATTCATTGCGACATTTGTAAACACAGTGAAAATTTTCCAAACAATCGGACTAATTTCATTGGCAACCTATGTTCTGAGCGCCCAAAATGGGTGCCAAGGATTCCAAATTAGCAGTGATATCATACGAAGATGCCTGTAAAAGAGGTAAGTGACATTTTATTGTTTCCTTTGAAATTTAAGTTCTTGTAGTTGTAGATCTGTTGTCGCAGTACAGGGCAGGAGATCAGTGCAGACTCGCATGAAACAACTCAAACTGACGGACTTGTCTCTAGCATGAACTAGATTCTAGATCGTAAGATCGAGATACTCGTCCTTGAACAGATCACTACCGTATCAAAGTAAAATCCAGCCCAGATCTATCTAGTATCTAGATATATAGATCTAGAACTAGAGTAGTTTTAGATAGAAACTGGAGTACTATGGCAGTACTGGCAGTTGGAGTTCGGCAGATCTGGAATCTATCTATATATATATATAGATCTAGAATCTAGATCTATATATCTAGATCTAGATCTAGATATCTAGACAAAATCTAGCAGTGCGGAAGCATCATCACTGTACTTGAACTTGTACACACTGAACACTGTCATCATCAGTGACATCAGTGGTCATCAGTCATCAATTCAATGCCAACGCCTACTAGATCTAGATCTAGATCTAGATCTAGATTCTAGATCTAGATCTAGATTCTAGATTCTAAGTCCAACTGTGTAACATACCTGACTTTTTTCAACTAATATGGAAGTGGCTATTCTCATCCGGGGTGAGAATAGAAAAACGATCTACCTCTCACCCCGGGTGAGACTTGCCAGCGTAGGCTATTCTCACCCGGTGCGAAACAAGACCTGCTTTTCCTCATTCAGGAATGGCCGTCGTTATTCGGACTCGAGTCCGAATAACATTTTTTCATATTCGGACTGGAGTTCGAATAAAAAAAATTCTTATCCGAATATGAAAAAATGTTATTCGGACTCGGGTCCGGAAAAAAGGAAGTGTCTTCGTTCTATAGATCTAACGTTTAGTGCTTCCAATTTTCCGCCATTTTTTAGTTTCCCCCACACCTTATCTGCCGATCCAATGCCCACCGCCTCATTGATACGCCTCCCCCCCCCCCCCCATATTTCCCACTTTCTTTGTTGTAGAAAAAGGTAAAATTGAAGATTAGCAGACCACCTGGCAGCTGCATATTATGAGCTGTGTAAAAAAAAAAAGACAGATTCGTTCAAATACACAAGCCTGTTTCATATCGATTGTTTACCAATAAAAAGTTGTGTTGCTGTGTAGAGCTGAGCACGGCAACTTTTGATTCCATAGACCAGCGCACAATTCATTACGTAGATCTACGTCAAGCCTTATTATTGTAATAATGATAAGTTGCCAGGGGGGAAAAGACCGACGCTTATGCGACGTTCAAAGTCCGGACCGATAGTGCCCCCCACCACCCTCCCCGACACGCACACAGCCACACGTGTGCAGGCCGCCCATCCGACCCCGACACATGCTAACGAGCCATCTTTAATTGCTTCTGATGACCTCTTGATAAATAAACATTTATTAGAATTAGAAGCGCTCTATAACTTTTCAGGCCGGCCTCAAATTCATCATAAGATTAAAACTCGGCTCCTGCACAAAACACCTTTTTGCCCGAAGTGATCCCGGTCTCTACCCAGCCTGAGGCGAGTCATGAGTGAGGCAGGACAGGAAGCCGGATTCACGAGTCACAGGAAGTCGGAAGTGATGTCATGCTGGACAAGAATCAGAGTCCGAATAACATTTTTTCATATTCGGACTCGAGTCCGAATAATCACTTCGAAATTTTAATGAATAGATCTACCGGTCCGAGATTCTCCATTGAGAGAGATTAAAAACGGGAAAATTATGAATTCCTAAGGTTGAGACATAGGCAAAGTCAGTCCGCTGGTCCGGTATTCTTCAATCTTACCTACCTAGTAAATTACAGGTCAAAGTTAGGGACCGATGACTTTGCAAAAGAGTTATCTTGATCTCGTAGAGCGTCTCTGGGCCAAAGATGGTACATGATAACAAAATAGTTCACTCAGCCAAAAAGGTGTCCACGAAAGTCTGCACATGATTGGTTCTGATGAAGCTGCAGTCTTTGAAGTTCTCTTTCGTTTTACCAGAAGAAGAATAGGAAAGTACAGTTTGTTAGTTTTACTTTTATTTATTTTTTAAATAATATTTTCACAGAAGTAGGGTAACTCTAATCACAAAGTCCGTTTTTATTTAATTGACTCAATTATAGAGGAGTGAACTATCTTTATATATATATATACGATCTTTGTCTTGGCCCAGATATCAATCGATAAAGTGATGCGGTCCAGCTGAGTGATTATCAAGGCGGTGAGCGTACTTCACTATCTATATCTAAGGGCCGTACGCAGGGAGGGCTGTACGCATAGCAACGAGGCTATGGGTACAGGATGGAGGGCCGTACGCATTGCCACAAGCTTAATTTTATAATCTTAGGACTATATCATATATATATATATATATATATATATATATATATATATATATTTACGAACTGACTATTTCTCTGAATGTTCAGGAAAATAAAATTAAACTCTATTTCTCGGAACGGTTTCTGATCTCGAGGTTTTTTTGGTTATTTGCCAGGTTTAGGCATCATCCTTTCAATCTGTCACTCTGCGAGGACTGGGAAAAAGCTTTTTGTGCCTCGAATTCAATTTTTAGAGCTCTAGATCTAGAGACTTTTAAATTAAATGTCTGAGGAATATTCTGAGACTTCAGTTGCGGTTGGGGCAACGTTCCCGGACTCAAAACTTAATTTGAAAATACCTTCAAAAGGTACTTTGCGAGAAAACAAGACTGCTCGACCTTGGCAGTAACCTATTTTGCATTTAGTCACCCAGCAATTTAAAATAAAATCCTTTATAAGGTAAAAAAAAATCCCTCTACGCCCCTCCCCCCCCACACCCATTCACACCTTACACAAACACACACTCACGCACACACACACACACACGCACACACACACACATACATACACACACGCACACAGGGGCCACTCCATTCGCTTATTATCAACAAATCTCGAGAACGAAAACCGTTCGGAGAATAGAGTTCAAGAAAGTTTATTTTCCCGAACGTTCAGAGAAATAGAGCCGGCCTAATAATTAATACTACAGCATCTAGGTTTAAAATCCAGATCTATGGAATCTGGTCTAGATATAATCTAGATCTTCTACTCTTTAAGTCTATACATTCTCATTTTAATTTCATTCTTAGAAAGACTTTTATATATATTATCTAAGACTCTAGTCTAGTCTTCATAGTCTGTGACTTGTTGACTTCTCTATGACCATTAGTTGTCAGCCTTACTTTACTTTTGAGGCCTCTCGGGTGCCTTGTTTTTTTGTTTTTAATTTATCGGCCACGATTGTCATTGATCATTCAATTGATTTGTTTTTTTTGTTATATCACGCGGGTCGGATCACTTCTCATCTTTCAGCACTAGATTTCCCTATCTGTCTTGATCTAGATTCTAGATGTTTTATAAATGTAATATACAGGCTACGCCTACCTCTCTACCTGGGGTGAAAATAAGACAATACACTGGCAGATCTAGCCTAAGTAGATCTAGATCTAGTTCTAGATCTAGAAATCTAGTACGCCTGCTTTACAATTTTATGCTGGATCTGGAAATATTGAATTCAAGCGAGAGTGCTCAATTGATGCCAAGGGGAAAAACGTCACTTTTAGCTTTTGAATGCTTTCTACTGCCTCTTTTTCAAATCAATCTAATGGAAAGCAAAAAAAAGGCCAAAAATGTGAATGAAAGTTGAAAACTAAATCATGCACACAAGAACCCACACCCCTTAAGTTGTCAAAAAATGGAGTAAAATATTTTAAAATCCGTTACGAATGGCCACTTAGAGTGTTAGAAATAGAGGGTTTACAGCTAAGGCTAGGGTGAGAGCGTTAGGGTTAGGATTTGGGTTTGGGGTAGGGTATAAAAAAGGGTTAGGACTGTTCTAGAACTTTGGGTTAGGTCTCTTCTTTATTGTTCTTGTGGCTCCTTACGGAAGTCCTTCCTTTTTTTGGTTTTTTAAATCAAATATTTTTACCAAAAAATTTTCTGTGGATCGCTACGCAATTTCTTCAACTTCTCTTCTTTACAAGAAGTGATTCTATAGTGACAGCTTATTTTTATAGTATCAGTGATCAGTGGAAGTGATGGTTTGGGTGGTGGGGAATGGGGGAGGGGGGGGAGTTTTTAAAGTGGAGCAGAGAGGTATGGGAGCTCTGCTATGTTTTATGGACACTAAAAATGAGACGAAAAGAAAGTTTTGTTTTCATTGAAAAGTGATCTCTCATAAATAGTGGTACCCAGGGACGGCTCGTGTGTCTAAAAAGTGGGCGTGCACAAAATAAGCTATTTTAGGCTGAAGATAGTCAAGGGCATAGTAAATGAGACGGTGTATAATTTTAGGATCTTTGGGTTGGTGAGGGAGAACCTTGTGATTCTATTTTCATTCTTTTTACTTGTGGCTTTGACTTCTAGAAATAAATCTGTTTGTTAGCTAAAACGTCAATTTCATTCTTCCTGCATTAGAACTGAACACTCAAGTAATACCTTTCACCACTCTACTACAAAACCGTTCAAAAGCACAATTCATAGGACGATGACTTAATTAAGTATGTCAAGTTCACCTCCCTCTGGTTCACGGTCACTGAGTCACTTAAAATAGCGGCAAGACAATGAACCAATCACAATTCACTTGAGCACTCCGCTGGATTGCTCCGGGGCTCACATATTTTTGGCATAGAATAGTGCACAATCTATCGCGTATATTTTTAGACTGCCTACTGTGGGCTATGTTTCCGCACTATTCGGCAGGAGCACATTTGAGATGTGCCGTCTTATTAATATTAATGTACAGCCAAACTCTCTACGAGTGTTGTCATCTCTTGGGTTATCCCAAAGAGCGATTTATTGGTCAGGTTTCCACTGTTGAATATCCTGTTATGTTTAGATACAGCACATGAACTAAGGCATGGCATAGTAGATGTTTTACAGCGCTATAGACATAAAAATGACAGTTACGGCGCCACCGAGGACTTTGTTGTGATATAATATGTGGCTAGTGTTTGTTTCTGGCATCTTTTATTTTATTATTGTAGGTACTTTACGTATCAGAACATTAAAACACTTTGGGCAGCACTGCACGACCGTGCTCAATGGACGAACCGCGCCTGGTGGTACCTCAATTTATTCTACTATTGATCAGTACAACTCTGTGCACTATGATGTATCATGACCTGTTTATTTAAGTGGGAGGCTAGCTTCCAAACATAATTCTAGAAGTTTAAGTTTTCTTGTGTAAAAATTATAAAAGTTTTCACCAATGTAAAATTAGTGCAGGTTTTGTTGACAGTCTAGCTTTGGACTTGGTTGACAACTTCTGATAAAAGGATCAGTGTACAATCTTTGCCGGCTTGGGACTCATTGGCCACATAAAAAAAACCTGTTGGTCCTTAGAGTGATTGATAAAGTTTTCATGGTTGTAGTTTGTCCTAGGCTCTCTTAGTTGCAATAATAGACAATCTCCATGCCATTAACTTTAGGAAGGCAATGATGAACATTCATTATATCGGGCACAGCCTTCCTCCAAATCCTCTTTCAACAAACGTTAACAAGATCATATAGTTGGAATGTGCTGTTGTCAGCGCCTCCTTTCTTCTTTTATTATTAAGGTTGTTGGTTTTAGTATCCCACCAAGAATACTATACACTGCAAAATTCTTTGATGATCTCAACACCACTACAAAATGAAGCAATTCACCCACCCACACACCGGAATTGTAATAATACTGTCTTTGATCTAAAATGCCCCCAGCACTGTCTTTACTATAGCCAGTGGAGCAGGACTTAATAGATATCATGGTAGACTGGTCAGTTGGGCAGGACTTGCGGAAGACCCTCAACTTAACCGGCACTGAAGAACTTTTTCATTATACTGTTTACAATTTATAAAAGGAGAGCTCATATCTTGGGATGTCTTATTTTTGTACCTCTGTCATATTAAGCCTTTCTGGCACTCCCTATCGTGTCACAGACCCGTAAAAAATTAAAATCTACTTCTTTTCTAGTTCAATGCCATGAATGTGTTAGTTACGATCGCAAAGACAAGCAGTGATCTGACTCTGGATCTGGTCTGGAACCTCCCAAACCCTAAAAAATCACTGCTTGTGTGGCTGCTTCCATGAGACTGGACTCAAGACTCAAGATGTGTCTTGAGACTATAAATTTGACAATGACAATCTTTATTCATCTCTCAGGGAGAAATTTGTCTTGGTCGTTTACAATGGCAGTGGATGTTACAAATGTTAGGTGCACTCACGCATATATAATGCACAACAAGACAGTGACTGTAGTAAAAATACCCCCCCTCTCCCCCCTATCTCTCCCTATCTCTGTCTCTCTTGTGCTCCCCCCCCCCCCCCCCCCAATATTTTTATGTGATGGGGTAGCGGGGATGGTGGAGCGAAAAGATTTTATATAATATATATTTTTAAAAAAATACATGTTATGTCATGTTTCATCATGAATTTGCATTTGTTTAGTCATTGACATAGCTTTTATGGAAAAAAAACCCCTCTACACCCTGTACCCGCTGTGTTACAAACTAACCTGACAAAATGGTAGTTGAAAAATAACCCCAGGCATGACTCGAAGCAAGACAGAGTGCTTAGCTTCTTGCATCCAATGGCTTGTGCATGTATGGGACCCTTTGATTTCTATAATATTTTGTGTGTTTCTCTTCAAAATGCTTTATTTTTAACGTTTGTTTTGTGTCTTTTGACAGTTTGATTTGATATATTATACAGCTTTGTTAAAAAGATGAAATTATTAAAATATCATTGCTTTCCTTTTTTTCATAGTTTCTGAGCCTGAGAGCAACCGGTTACGGGAGGCTTTCAGACGAGCTGCTGTCAATTCGACCATGTCGGACACTGTGTTTGTTCGGGAGGTCTTGTGGGATGGCATTCCAATCAACATAGCGCAGGTAGGGAAACTGGAAATATAATCCAAATGTTGTAGCCCTGTCTACTCCTCCCTCTCTAGCTCTTTGTAGATCTTCCTTCTTCATCACCATCATCTCTCTGTCCTATCTCTCTCTCTCTCTGTCTCTTTCTCATCTTTTTTTCCTCTCTCTATTTCTGTCTCTCTCTTGTGCTCTCTCTCTCTCACTCGCTCTGTGCTCTACCTCTCTCCTGCTGTCTAATGCTTTGCATCACTGTCCCCTTCTTTTTTTTCCTTGTAAATGTCAGAGAAGCGATGATTTTGCTCATTTATACTAGAAGCATAAATGTTTTGTTTCTCTTTCTTGAAGTATGATGATAATCTTTATAAATGGTAAGCACTGTATGATATTGTATGCACGTCATTGAGACATACAACATCTGAGTCTAAATTTCAAATATCTTTAAAGACACATTTAATTTAATGACATCATTTTTATGTCAGTAGATTCATGTTCAGTAGAATGTTATAATGTGAATGACCTTGTATCTATTATGTATTTTGTGAATTGCATTGTGTATATTATTTTATTATGTATTTTTTATGCGCTCATTTCGTAACGATATGTAAGCATGCATGTGTGATAAGCAAGTAGACATGTGCACATGTGTGCATGTAATGTTTGGCTGAGTGTGTATGTGTGTTTGTGTGTGTGTATGTGTGTGAGTGTGTGTGTGTGTGTGCGTGAATATAGTTAATACGTGCATGTATGTTAAGCGCCTAGAGCTGTGTTTACACGCGAGTGGGTGCTGTAGAAATATTCTTCATTATTATTATCATTTTTATTGCATTGGGTATGTTAAGCTTGACTCTCAACTTCTTTAAATTTCTGTTTTGTAGAGGATAATTATAATTTGAAAGCATGCTGACAGTGTGATATAAAGAAATGTTTGGAAACTATTTTTTCTCTTATCAAACAATAAAAGATCTAAATCTTGCAAGTTCACTTTTAATTAATGATCTGTACATTTTTTCTATGGTTAAAATATAAAGGTCAATGATTATGTTTGCAAGTATGGTGTTAATTTGTCTAGTTCTTTTTCAGATAATTATGTTTTTATGATGGCGTGTATGTGTGTGTGTGTGTGTGTGTTTGTGCGCGCATGTACGCATGCATGTGTGTGTGCATGCATGCATGCATGCATGGCTGAATGGATGGAAGGATGGAAGGATGTATTCATTCATTGTCAACCACGCATTTTTATTTTTGTATTCATTTTTTTTTTTAAACCCTTTTTTGTGAACCTCATCTAATTTTAATGTTCATGGTCCACCCTTCAGTTGATTTACAGAGGTTATGGAGGTACATCCAAGGGTTTGCCTTTCAAGGATTTACTGTGTGGCCTTGTCATTCTCACAAAAGGCACCAGGGAAGAAAAAATTAAGTGTAAGTGCTCATGACGTATTTAGCTGAATCAAATAATTACTGAGTTCTTTCTATATTGTTTTCTGTCTTTTTCTTTGTGAAACAAAAAATACATTAAAAAAAATAGCTGAGCATATATTATAGGTACCCATTCTGCTGCTGGCAGATGGAATAGATGGAGGATCTGATTATCTCATTTATATATCATTCATAACATAAAGTCTATTGTAGTACAAGACGGAAGTTCATCCTGAAAAATGAACAGAAACATACAAAAAATAATGCAATGGAAATTTTACTTATAATGTTAATGTTCTGCTTGAGTTTTGTTTCTGTGAGGGTAGGACTTATTGTTTTAGTCTGTATTTATTGAGTGACTTGTGGCTTGTGATGAATCTCTCGCTCCTCCCCAGTTTTTTTACCGTGATAGTTTCAGTCCGTCAATGTTCATTGGGAGCCTACGATGAACAGATATTCTGCACTTGGAATTGCAATCTTAATCTTCTACCATAGCGTTGTTAGCTGTGCTACGAACCCTATTTTGTGCTTCAAGGTCCCCAAGCTGGGTATCAGAAACCTCCGATTGATGAATATAATAGAATTGCAAGGTAATATATAGATTTGGTAAACATGAAAGAATTGTTTTAGCAAAAGCAAGCCATTGAATGCCGCACATGTAAATTATAGAGGTCAAGATTTGTCTTTGTGTAAAGTGGAGCTTATCTTCTTTCCAGAATACACCACTGAATATCACCCTATCCGACTCAGAGGTTTACAGTTAATGATAGCATTAATGTTCTTCTGGCGCTGGGCTGGTGTAGGTGGGTAGGACTTGCTTTTATTGCAAGGATATCTGTTACACAGTAAGTTGTTTCTATTGCTTTGTAATGAAAGTGCACATTTTCCTATATTTTTTTACACTTTTACATCACTTCTTATTCATTCTCTGTACAGTGATATTTGGCATGTACTGTGACGACTCATGCACATATGTACAGAAGGATGAGATGGACAGACGGGTGCTGGAAACGGAAGGACAAGTGTCACCTGCACTGTCCAGCTTGTTTAAAGTGGTCAGTTTTATTTTTTTTAAAATTTTTTCGGTGTTACTCAGGGGAGAAGGGTCTCGTTTACCCCGAAGTAAAACACTTCCTCTCATATCTAGATCGAATACATGAGAGGTGTAAGACCTACGTATCAATGTGTTCTGTGTATTGTTCTGTGGTTAACCCCTTGCCTGCTCTGTGGGCATTCCCGGTACGCCTGAAAAACCCCTGTTTCGTTTCGCGCTTATCTTCGCTTTTACACAGTTTTGAATAACAAGAGTTACATCCCTGTATTCTCTGTCCACTTGCAGATGTGGTCATGACTATTTTTAGGCTATTACTATTAGTCCTAGGATTCCTGTGCAGTAGCTAAAACTAGGGTTTTTGCGTGCAGTCTACATTCGCCACAATGGCTTCGCAAAGATTACCGTTTACTAGGTTTACGGATCGGATTATTGCTGAAATTTATAGAGATACTGACAGGGATGACAAAGATTTCAGTTCATCTGTTGAAAGTTTTTGTCGTAGATCTAATATCCAAGATGACAGGGATCTCGAATACAAAGGTGGAATTTTTAAAAATCTCACTTTCACCTGCCAAATTCTTCTACAAAATACTTATACCTAAAAATGAGTAACACCAATAGATTGTATGTTCATTTCTCTTTTATTTGACATATACTTTGCTATATCTAGTGCTTATAGTAAGCGAGCTATAGCCATTTAAAAAGCAGACCGTGTCATCATACACAGCCACTGTGGAAATTTCCTTAGCACATGCGGTGGACTTATGGTTAGCAGTCAAGGGGTTAATGGGAAGTATGACCTGCACATTTGTAGGGTCAGTTATGACAGAGTCTGCAAGAGAGGGACTTCTTATTCTGTAAATATTTGTTGATTTCATGACTTCACATGGTAAAACTACCATTGGGCACTAAAACGTTCCCTTCAAAACATAAAGAAAACAAAATTTGCAGTTGCAAATGCTCATTCTGTGGCAGATTTCAATTTTTTATTTCTGTACTTTGGTGGACATTAACCAAGTATGCCTATTTTCTTCATTTTTCCCAATTCTTCATGTAATCACATCCCCCCTGCCAGTATCAGTATCAAACCTGAGGCTTGGATTGGTTTTGTGTACGAAATGTTACATTCCGTTTAAATGATGTATTTTAAATGTATATATTTATATATATATATATTTGACAGCTCTTCATATCTCCTGTTTTTATCATAATTTTACCAAAGCATGCAACAGTTTCTTTCCTCTTTTCCGTCTCATGATAGTCGGACCAGGTGTCTTATGATCAGTTCTCCATGTGGCTCAAGCTGCACCCGGATGCGACGATCATCAGCAAGTGGTTGCTCATCGAGCCACTGAGACTCTCTCTGTCCGGCGACCACGACACACCAACCTTCTACCAGACCTTAGCTGGCGTCACGCACTGTAAGTCATGGGTCTGGGTTTTTTTTTTTTAGTTGTTGTTGTTTTGTTCTTTTAGATTGGATTAGTTTGGGTAGTTTTGCATAGTGTTATGGGAAGGGGGAATGGGAGTATGTAGAGGTTTGAGTGTGACTGCCTCTCCTCTCCATTCCAATCAACATAGCTCAGGTAGAGAAACTGAAGTACCCAAATGTTGTAGCCCTGTCCACCTTTCCCTCTCTTTCTCTCTCTATCTTCTTCCACCGTCATTTTCATGTCTCGTTTTTGTTATATATCCCCCTCTCTCTCTTTCTCTCCCTCTGCGGATGGCTGCAGGGTGCAACTGGTAGGCCCTACTTTTTTTCTCTCTCTCTCTCTGGTTTTTTTAATCTGTCTTATTTATTCTCAGCTCTGAATGACCGTTATTTTGTCGATGTGCTTCTGTTTACTCAATCAGTCAAAATGTTAATGCGACTTGTCTCTGTGGTGGCGTCCTGGTTCGGCATGACCACATGAAGCCACAAGCTTTTTATCTTCCGATGTTGCAGCTGAATTCAAAACACCCCTGCAACTGAGCAGATAGGAAAGTTGCCTCCTTTTCCACAGTTTATGAGACAACAACAGTTTGAAGACACTCAGCTGTGGAGAGGGGTTGAGAATTTTTCTCACGCTGTATGAGATGGTGCTTGGGAGGGGGTTATTGTACAGACTTTGGAGGGGTTGGGGCTGAGGGTCAGTTGATGAAGATATTTTTGTGTGTGTTATGTGTGTACAAAGTTATGGAATAGTTCTCTTTGGAGGCTTCTGAAGAAAGTAATATGAGTAATTTCTTTATTTTTTGGAAGCTTTTGAAGCAATCTGAATTATTCAGTTACTTGTTGAAACTTTGAAGTTTGGAAACTTAATCATAGGTATGAGTCAGTTTCAAAAACATGATCTTACTTTTGTGTATCTTACTTGACCATTTATGTCATCATGTTGTTGTTTTGTTTTTGTGTTGTTTGTGTGTGTGTGTGTGTGGAAACAATCTAACTAGTTCTTAAACTTCTGCTGCTTTAATTTGACATGTCTGACAATTTTTTCTCGTGGGTTGTTGGCGGGTGCTCTGGTGTGGTTTGCTCCTTCTTTCCTATCAAACATCTATCGTCCTTATCTCTTCCGCCTTTTTTGTGTATGTTACTCTCTTTTAACCCATCTATTCTTGGACACTTACGACCTTATTGTGTTGCAAGTGCCATAAAACTCTTACTAAAAAAATACATTTTTTTTGCTCTTTGCTGTCATCTTCAGTGGAGGAGCGCGAGATTCTAGAGCTGGAAATACGATACTGGAAGTTGAAGGCCCTTTCCAAGACTGGACGTTTTGACCTTGAGCTGTTCAAGTCTCAAGTGAGCCCTCCGCTCCCTGATAAGCTCTGTGAATGTGAGTTGTTGTTTTTTTTTTACAGCTGGGTTCTTTATCATGACTGATATGATATTTGTAAGTAAAGATGAAAGACCTTAACTTGGTGAACTCTGGAACAAAAATAAGATGGGGGATTTAATATGTGAGGTATAGTTTTTAAATTTCAATTGGTCTTTGTTTTAATACTAGTGTTGACTGCAAAATTTTGTCTCTTGTGTGATATTTTCTTATCTGATTAGAAGCAACATCTTATCATCAAATTTGAACTTACTTCTTAATAATGTGGGCTCTAGAACTACAGTGCCTTATGCTTTTTTTGTCATTCTACCCTTGCACATAATCAAAGGCGATTGAAGAATATGGTGATGCATTTCTGGATGTTAGTACGGTTACGGGATGGGTGAAAAGATGGAATGGCGATGATGCATCTGAAAATAGTTTGATGTTTGTGAATCTCTTAAGTACATTTTATGCTTTTAACCTAAATTGTGTCGATGGGAGGGTAAAATTACCTACATAAAAAAAAAAATCAATACAAATTCTTTGCTGTTTTCCACTCACAGCTTTGTTTCTGGCATTCGATGAGAACTGCGACAACCACATTGACTTTAAAGAAATGGCCTGTGGGATATCTGCCTGCTGCAGAGGTCCGTCTTTGGAAAGACAGAAATGTGAGTCTTCTTTTGTGTTTTTCTCTTTAGTACGTGTATATTTAGAAAAATATTCTCTAACAAACAGAAACAAAAAGTAACAGCATGTACTATCTTTCTAACTTCATTTTCTCTGGGAGGAAGAATTTGTGTTCCCTTCAGTTTTAATGGTTGTCTCAGTGACGGCTATGATTTTTTGTGTACGAGAACGGAAGCTGTGAGCTTAATGTTGCTTTGAGAATCATCGTAACTGTAGTTAATATCATCAAAATCCAATGAAAATTTTCTGTTTTCGTCTTGAACAGACAAGGGCTTCATTGAACTTTTTGTAGTCAAATGTGTACATTTAACTTCTTGATCTATGATAGCAGGACCATCAGAAAAAGAGACTCTTTGATACGTATTCTCAGAAATGTTATGGTACTTTTGTCTATTGCAGTTTGCTTCAAAGTGTTTGACATGGACCAAGATGGCCGACTGAGTGAGCAAGAAGTCACGGCGATGCTGGAGGCTCTGAACACTGTCAGGCAGGAGTACAATTCAGAGGCTACTCTGGTCAGTGGTTACAGTAGCTGCCTTGTCGTATATGTTTTTTTATCAGAGGAGCTGATTTTCCAAACACATTTTGAAAGCTAGGTTTCTGAAATTGTGGCGATTGTGTACTTTATGTAAAAAATAGTCTTGATGAAAAATGTATTAGATAATATAACAGAATTTACATGACTTGATTGTGTTGCAAGCGATATAAAACTGCGACTAAAACTAAAGACAATAGTATGATCCATAAAATCTAAGTCCCTGCAAACACATATCCCCAGGTTCAGAAAAGTTCTGGATTTTTGTTGTTGTAGCTAGTTGTCACCTTTGTTTGAAGTCTTATGTGTTCTCGTGTAGTAATTAAAGCATCTGGCTCTGAATTGAAAGATCGTGGAATGTTGTGCAGTTTTGTCAAAAAGAAAAGAAAATGCTGTTGATGTTTATTTGTCTTTTCAGTCATTATTCTATTGCTTTACAGCGATTTTTGCTTTGCTCTCCTTCTCAGAGAGCTCAGGATATGCCAGTACTTGAGCCAGAGACAGTGGCCAAGGAAATCATGTCTTGTCATGATATCAATAAGGTCAGTTTATGATATAGATGGGAATTGTCTAGATTGTTGGGAAAGTTTGTGTCGGATGTCATGGGCAAATGAGCAAATTCACAGTAGTGAATGTCATGCCTTTTGGTCTCTTAGTAAAACCTTGTTTGCTTCCTTTATTAAAATGGCTATGTTAAAAGCATAATTTGAATGTGCATTCTAGAGTATTTAAACTTTTGTCTGATTTTATGCATGCCCTTCTTGAGAAGTTAAGACACAGCCTTTGGAGATCAAGTCTTAGGTCTTGCCGTATTGGGGATTGTTTTTGTTTAACGTTTTGATTCCTGCCCGATATTCTTAGTGTGTCAGAATATTATCTCTGAAAGTGAGTTGCCGATTGGAGAGTATTTAATGTCCTTCAGAATTTAGAAATCTTTATAAATGTGAGGGAAAATCTCATAATGGAGTTTGGGTCTTGATCTTGATATTAATGCTTCAAAGAATTACAAATGATTGTGTGAGTTCTATGATGTCAACAATTCTTAGCTCAAAACAGGACTTTAGATAGCTTTATATCAATGTTCACATAGTTACACAGTTGAACGCTGTTGCTCATATTGATGCAAATGAATTTATTCATTATTTATTTATTTATCAATGCATTCGTTTATTAATTTATTTATTTCTATTGCAGGGTGGCACTGTTAGGTCCCAGGGGTTTCGTTATTGTGTTTTACTTATGTTTATTTTCTAATTCATCCCAGCAGTAAATGAGCTTTGTTGGGTGTATAGCCTTATTTTCGAGCTGGAATGAACACTGTATTTAACAATGTAAAGAAAATCTCTTCATCTTATGGTTATGTTTTATGTGTAGTTCTTTATTGTCATTGAACCTAGATTGCCCTGTGCTGAAGCCATATCGGCTGTTGGCGGGTGCTCTGGTATGATTTTTGCTCCTTCGTTCCTATCAAACATCTTTCGTCTTATCGCTCCTACTTTTTTTTGTGTTTGTTACTCGCTTGTAACATCTCAAATCTTCGGCACTTACATTACCTTATTGTGTTGCAAGTGCTGTAAAACTTTCTAAAACAAATGAAACGAAGCCAGATACTCAACTTTGAAGGTCATTTGTATCTCAGGATGGTTCTCTCAACATGGAAGACTACCTGCTGTGGACGGTCAACAACCAACTGACCACTGACTTTTTACAGCTGTTGAGTCAGGTACAGAACATTCTTACCTTGAGAAGAACTTTATTTTTAGACATACTTCAAGGTCTTTCACTGTCACTGTCACAGCCCTAAATGACATCAGAGCTACCCTTCTCCCTCCGAGACCTAACATTGACGACACACTTATGGAACATTACTGCAACTGCAGGAAACCTACACTTATCACTACATGGCATTGGACAGAAGAGCGAGAGCCCAGCTGTTGCTGGATCGATAAAAACAACAACAACAACAACAACTTTCACTGTCTTGACCCTTTGTCATTATTGTGAAGGGAGAAAAATCTGTGTCAGATTCCATTTCTAAGGACTTATTGTCAAGTTCAGGCCAGAGTTTGAACCTGCTTTCATACTTTTGTAAGTCTGGCAGCCTAATCACTAGACAATTGAGGTCAACTATAACTCAGCACAACTTGTGCAGTGTCTTGATCTGGTATTTTTTTCTGCCCTTTTAGTGATCTGCTCAACCTTTCTTGAAGGCAAACTGTGTCATTCTAGATTCCTCTCTTTATTCTTTGTCTGGTTCAGTGTTTGTCAACTATTTATAGCAGTTTCCACTTTTCTGGCGGTTTTTGGGTGCAGCTAGTAGGTCTTACTTCTTTAACTTTTCCTCTGCTGTTTTTGTCTGCTATCTGTCTTACTTTTCCCCATCACTAAATTAACATTATTTTGTCAATGTGCTTCTCTTTACTCAAACAAAAACAAACAAGCACCCACTTTTTTTTTGTCGTAAAGAGGCAAAAATTGTTGCACCTCCCACCTACATGTGCATGTTTTTCTAAGCGAAATATTAAATGATACCTGTTACTACCCTGGTGATCCCCACTGTTCACCAAAATTACCGTCAGCCAGGTAATTGTTTGCAACCTGGGTGATGGTAATTTTGGTGGCAATGATCTAATTTCTTGTTCATATACAAACAGGTGGTTGGAGAGCACCACTGGTAGATTCTTCTTCTGTTCTTTCCTTCTTTTGTTTCTATTGTGTCTGTCCTACCTTTTCCCAGGTCTATATGGCTGTCTTTGTTCCGATATGCTTCTCTATACTCAAACTAATTAAATCCTGTTTACATATGCCTCATTGTTCTGGACTTTTCCTTATATTGAAGATGAACTCTGCCCTCCAATAACCCTATTATTGTTATGTATTTTAAAATTTTATCTTTTGCTCAGATATGCCACATAGTGTTGGGCCTGTCCCCACAGACGAAAGAAGAAGAAGGCAAAATCATTCAGTAAGTGCACTACTCTCTTTATGTTGTTACTTTTTAAAATGTAGATATTGTCTGGTCATATAAAAATTTGTTTAGTTCACTTTTTAAATGTGCCACTCTCTCTTGCTGCTGTTATTGAATTATACTTATCTGTGTGTCATTCCTCATGTCTATGAATGGCTCCACAGCTGTGGAAGTATGTAAATGCTTAAACCTGAGATGGGTTCGGTTGAGCAGTGGAGATGCTGAAACTTTATCCCAGTCAATAGTGAAGTTGCTGTTATTTTGTGTGGGTGTTGGTGTGTTCTCTGGTGTGGTTCGCTTCTTCTTTCTTATTAAAGATCTATCGTCCTCATCTCTTCCCCTCCTTTTTTTGTGTTTGTTTCTCTCTTATAACACGTCTCATCTTTTGGTACTTATATGACCTTTTTGTGCTGCAAGTGCCCTGAAATGCTTACTAAAACAATAAATGCTGACTGTCTGTTTCATCCTCCAGTAGATTAATATAGCTTATTGCATGTTTTATTTGGTTATAACTCTTTGTCCTATTCTATCATAAATTAATTATGATTCATCATTATGTTATCTTACTTTGTGGGTGGTTGGCAGGTGCTCTGGTTTGGTTTTCTCCTTCTTTCCTAGAGAACATCTATCGTCTTTATCTCTCCTCCTTCTTTTTTTGTGTTTGTTACTCTCTTGTAACACCTCTAATCTTCTGCACCTACACGACCTTATTGTGTTGCAAGTGCCGTAAAACACTTACTAAAACAAACAATATCTTACTTTGCTTTTTCGTAACGCATCTTCTTAACTGTTCTTTTCTCGTATTGTCTCTTTGTCTCAGGCACTGGTTGGAGAGAGAGTGCAGCAAACCTTTGGAGACAAGCCAGATCTGGTACCTGGTCAACATGCAGTGGTGGAATATGTGGTTGGAGTACGTCAATGCAGAGGTGACTAGCAATGTTATGGTTGTACATGTACACGATTTTAAAAGAAAGAAAAATTTCTCTGCCAAAAGTATAATCGTAAACAACAAAGACGGTTTGCACTCTAGTGAGACAGGATCAAATCCATCAGTCAGATCTAGACGTTGAAATCGCCCTGTACTCTGACACAGGTCAGCTTTTGTGAAAATATATTTTTTCCCAGAGATATATCATAGATCGTATTTAACATTTGAAAAGATATTGAATAATGTTGGATGATGAGAAATCATGAATTATAAGTGACTCTTTCAAAGTGGATTGAAAACGAAGTATTCTCAAATTGATACTCCAAAACAGAGTTCACTATGTAATATGAGATTTCCCTTTTTCTACAAAAGGTTTGTATCTTCCCATCAACGGTAACTTCATTTAAATTTATTCCACGTATTAGTGATGTTGTTCTCAAACCATGTATCTGAAGAAATAGCTCACCCTTATTTAGTCTTGTATCCATTGCCAAGGTCGATCTGCGAATCTTCATAAAAAATCAAGAATCTGCATGCATTACAAATAATATAAAAGTACTATGGGCTTTTTTCTTGTCATCTGTCATTGAAGAAATCAGGTACACAGAGTATAACATCATCATTATGCTTTTTTTTTTCATTACTTTATTTGTTACTGTATTTCACATGTTGAAAATTTGTCTAGAAATCAGGTACCCGGTGAATCCATAACACCTTCATTATGAATTTATTCTTTCTTTTTACTTGACTTGCTACTGTATTTCACATGCTAAAAGTTTGTCAAGAAATCAGGTGCACAGTGAAAGCATAAATCCATCACGATGTATTTGCTTATATTTTCTTTACCTGACTTGTTTGTTCTAATGTTCTATCGACAGATGTGTGACGGAAACGGTCGGCAGCACCGCATCGCTAAGGGGCGCAATGTTGGTAGTTCATTAGCCTGGGAGGATGAGTCTGTCATTATGGTGGGGGCAACACGAGCCGGTGGGGATGCTCAGCACAGGTATTTGTAGTTTGTGGCTCTGTGTGAGGGTTAGTGTGTGGCTCAGTGTGAGGGTTAGTGTGTATGTGGTTCAGTGTCATGAGGGTTAGTGTGTGTGTCTGTGTGAGGATTTGTGTGTGGCTCAATGCAAAGGTCCATGTGTGGTTCAGTATAGTGTATGGGTCAGTGTTAGGGTTTGTGTGTGTTTCTTTATGAGGGTTAGTGTATGGTTCAGTGTTGTATGTGGCTCGGTGTGAAGGTTCATGTGTGGTTCAGTGTAGTGTTTGGGTCAATGTGAGGGTTTGTGTGTGGCTCATTGTGAGGGTTCATGGACTAATTTGTCTGAATGTGAACATTCACTTGATGCAAAGAAGCTCTAGTGATATATAACAATTTTGATTGAAATGGAATGAATAAGTTATGATTTCAGATTTTAAACCATCTGTTGACTTTGTCAAGTCGAGTGAATGATCGTAACTCGGACCCTTGTGATTTAGAGTGACTGTTATGGGCAGGTTCAACTGTACATATAAGTGACTTTTGGAACACAAGTTTTTTTTTTTTGGGGGGGGGGGGTTGAGTCACCAAAACATGAGAGCATCTTGCCTGCTCAGTGTAAGACTGTCATACATCACTTTTAAATATGGTGTATGGCTGAGTCTTACACAAAGCAATCAATCATCAGTGCAGAGGAAAACTTAATAATTGAGGCAAACTAAAAAAATGTTTTGAATTTTCCTGTTTTCATGTGGATTCAAGTTGAAGGGTTGAGTTTTTACCAGTACTGTATTTTTGTTCAGTGTTGCATAAACAGTAGGCCAAACTAAAATATTTAACTCTCCTTTTTTTCCCCTACAGGCCAGTTGCGCAGTCGCTGCACCCTGGAGACTCTACGCCCACCCATAGAAGTTCGAGTCTTTCTCCGAAGATGAGCCGCAAGCCTGCCATTGGTCCAGCCCCCAAACCACCTGCCATAAATAACAATCCGCTCCTTGTGAATCCTACTAAGGTAATGGAAAAATATGAACTAAATTAAGATATGAATGCGGAGTGTCATATTTAAAATTATTAATATGCTGGATTGATTTCCAGCCTTGTTGCAAGTTTTTGCTAAAGTACTTTGCATTACCTGTCTTTTATCAAGCTTATTAAAAAAAACTGCTTGTCTTTTGCCATAAAATGTCTGGATATGGTACCCTCTGTAGACCTGGGGGGAAAAATGTGTTTTATTGGATAGTATTTGTGATATGCAGTGATGATTAGGTGTATGGAGCATACTTTAAAAAAAAAAAAATTTTTGGTCTTTTTTGTCTTTTTTTTTGTTGCCTTTTTTTTTCTTTTTCTGTTGGACGACTTTACTGTGTGCTGTAATCTAATTAGATAATGGTACTCATTTAATTTTTATTTACAGTATGTGTCAATGACTAATGAGGGAGGTCGACTGAGAAAAGATGTGGTGTTGCAGCGAGGCAAAGACTTTGAGCTTGTCCCTGAATGCATCTGGCATGCACTGACCACTTGGTACGGAGGAAGCCCAGCCCTGCCTAGAACTGTGAGTAAAAAGCTTTGTAAGATTATTGACCATGAATTTACCAGCTTACCTTGCTTGTCTGTAACTTGGTTAAATTAGCCACCTTTGAGTATTAGAGTTGACTTGATAGCTCAGATCTATGAGTTGTTCTGTTGAGATTAACCGCCTTCTTCTTTTTTTTTTCAATTCTCTGAAAACTCTTCTAATCTTCGATACTAATATGACCTAAATGTGTTGCAAGTGCTGTAAAACTCAGTATTTGGAGTTGAGCTTATTTACCCTATTCTCACCTGCCTGTCATCTTTTCTTTTTCTAGGTGATCAATACAGCGCCAAAAGGGGGCTATTGCGCTGAGCTTGAGTTGTATCCCATCTGTGTTCGAATCCTGCGCCACCAGACACCCAGTCAGAGGCCTCCACCGGCCACCACCCTCACCGGCATGGTGGCGGGGATTGGAGGCATGGCTTGGAGTAAGTTGGGCTTATGTGTGTACATTGAGAGTAACCCAGTCAAAATGAAGTATATGGTAGGTCTCTCTGCTAGTGAGGTACTTGACCCTTGCCTAAATTTTGTTTGTCTTATCCTTTTGAAAATATTTTCTTTGTGCTGTTAGATGAAAGTGTGTTATTGAAAGTAATGAGTTGTTTGTAAACTGACACATCAAAGCTTTGATAGAGGTGAAATGCCCTTATCAAAACTTTACTTTTTGGGTGACCGTCCTTCTTTATGAACTTACAAGGATTTTGAAAGCTGAGGAGCTTTGCTTCTATGGCATACATAGAGAGGCTCTTTTCTGTGTGCTATTGTATGACATACTCAGGGGGCTCTTGTCTGTATGCTAAAGAATTCTATTGTGCATCAGAAAATGTGTTTAGGAAGAATGATGTGTTTTCGCGTAGGTTTTGCTGCCAACCCCAGCCAGCCCCGGAGGTACCATGCACACACGGCATCCTTCAGCCGCAAGCACACCATTGCCCAGATCTACGAGTTCCTCTGCAACAAACTGAGGTTCTACAGAGAAGACTTTCGGCTGTGGAAGATTCATCCGAAAGATGATGTAAGACTTTTTTAAAAACTTGTATGATGAATCTTTCCCTTAGTTTTCAGGGTCAAGCATTCAGAAATAAGTCTGCTGGGTTTTTTTTTTATACCTTTAAATGCTGAAGTAGTTTTAATTACATTTTTAGAGACAGCAGACTGTTCATTCAAACAAAGCCATGGTATATTTCCCTTTATTAAGAATAAGCAACTGCAGAAGCTACAAATACATATTCAAAAATGTTTTCTATTTACCAGTAAAAAAAAATGGCAATGAACCAGTTTGGGAAATCACGAGTAAGTCTACACAGCAATGAAGAGATTTATAGGAAAAAAAGCGAACAAATTCTTTTTGAAGCACACGTTGCCAATGTACTATAATTTTTGTCTTATTTTCACTTTTGTCCTTTGCAATGGTGTCCCCTGTGAGATCCCAAGACCCCTGAAACATTCTCCCTATCAGTCTATGATTGCCTTTTCAAAAATTTGAAATTAAATCTACTTGATATGTTTTCTTGTTTTAAATGAAACTTGTAAAGAATTATTTGTTAATTTGTATCCTCGTTTTCTTTCAAACTTATGTGTGCTTTTCTGTTCCAGCAAAACATAACTCTTTTAGAAGATGAGGAAAAGACTGTGGAAGATTATGGGATAGAGGATATGCAACAGATGCTCTTGGAAAGTAAGTTCTGTTAGGTCTGAAGAGAAGATTTGTTGGTCAGTTTAAAGATGGACTCGGACTTGTTAATGCTCTGTTTAGCATCATGTCCAATGAACGTTGAGCTTTCTTGTGTGTGTTTTTAAAATCTTTTTATCCTTTTTTCTACAGCTGTTTTCTTTGAAAGTGTATATTTGCTAAAGGTGTGCACAATTCTTTTTCAGAGACAGACATTGCATAGTTTTGTTAGTTTTTGTAAGAGTTTTTTGGCACTTGCAACACAATAAAGTCATATAAATGCCGAAGAGTAGAGATGTTATGAGAGAGTAAAATACAAAGGAAAGGAGGAGAGATAAGGGTGACTGATGTTTGCTAAGAAAGGTGCAATCCACAACAGAGCCTCCGCCAACCACCCACCAACACATTAAAAAAGTAAATTGAGCGTCTTCTTCCTCTCACTTTTTCCTAATCTTTCTTTGCATGGATGTACAATTCAACAACAGTATCATTGATTGTGCCTCAAGTAGTTTTTGAAGGATTATGGTAATTTTAAATGCAATGCTTTCTTTTTCTTCAGTCCGGAACAAAGATCTCACTTGGCCAGAAGAGATGTCCCAGCTGGCGAAAAATAAAACTGTCAAGAAAGATGATGGTAAGATCTGTTTTCACGATGACTGCTTGTTTTAAGTATGTATTTTTTTTTTTTACCTCATTTGAATGAAATAGAAGATGAGTAAGATCTAATACCATGTATTAAAGTGAAAATAATCTTGAAATGAGAAGCTGAAATGGTAATGAACAAAGAAAATCAACACTGGAAAATGGTTTGAATTGGAAATATAAAGTTAAAAAAGAAAATGTTTTGTCTTAAGAGTAGAACTATTCTTTCTATTTGTAGCTAATAAATGGCAAGATAGCTGGTAGAGGATGATGATTAGGACCTATAGAGGCTCCGAAATTGATGAAAATAACCTGACTGGGTCTGTGTTTGTTTCTCTCAGCTCCCACTCAGAAGGGAGCCACGGGCCTGAACAACCTGGGCAACACGTGTTTCATGAACGCAGCGGTCCAGTGTGTGTCCAACACATGGCCTCTGACACAGTACTTTGCGGGCAACCTACACTTGTTTGAACTCAACAGGTATGTCATTGATGTATGTGTCAACTCCGCTCTCCCAGAAGCAGGACTAACGAATGCTTAGATGTGGCATTGGTTCACCTGACCTACAAAGTTTATGATGAAATCTGAGCCCTCTGATTTTATTTACGCCTGTGGGAAAACTCTGATTGGATTTGCATAAAATCCAGGTTTTTTTTTTCTTGAATTCCATTTCTATCTGTTGTACCCAACTTATCGTAAATGACTTGAGAAAAGTTGTGTATATCCTGTGTATATTTGAGCCTCCTTGCAATATTTGGATAAATTGTCTTAAAATGACATGAAAATACACATTTTTGTTTTTGCTTATTTCAGTGTATTTGTAATTCACATTTATTGACCATAATCAATTTAAAACATAAGCTAAATCTACTGGGGTTCTGGAGACGATTTTCAGGGAGGATTCTAAGGGAGAACTCGAGGGGGGGATTCTGAGGGAACACTCTATTTCTGGTGATGTATAAGTTGGCAGAGCTGATTCACATACACCTCACTCTTGGCTGCCTGCTCCGTTGCTTCTTTCCAATGCTGTTAAGTTTGGTTTTTCTTGTACAAACTTTCTATAAACTTCTCTGCCAGATTTCTGTTTTGGACTACTTAGTGGTATTCTAGTGCAATCCTGACGGTGAAGAGGTTAATGCTTTTTAGTGGCTGTCGTGTCTTTTCCAAGGCCTGAGCATGTATGCATCCACTTTAGTTGGTTCAAAATGGGTATCTGGTGAATGTCATTGCTCTTCTTAAAAGTTTATTTAAAAAAGCTGTGCTATGGGTGAAGGAGATAGCTTATGAATGGAGTATTTCCATATTGTAAAAGCAAATTTTCTAAATTTGAGGTTGGTCATTTGTGTTTAAATATTTATCAGCAGCTCTACATATTTATCAGCAGCTTCTAGATCGATGACAGCAACAACAATGCTGGACCAATAACAAATCAGCCCCTTCACATATTTCATACGGGTGCTATTTTTGTGTGTCCGCAGAGACAACCCTCTGGGCATGAAAGGTCACATTGCCCAGAGGTACGGCGAACTCATCAAAGACCTCTGGGGCGGCACCTCCAAGACCGTAGCCCCTCTCAAACTCAGGGTAAGCACAACCATGCCGTGCAAGATTTGAACCTCCAAGCCTCATTAATGTAGTGTGTTCGTTTTTAAGAATATTTGATCTATGTATGACGGGGGGGGGGGGGGGGGGGGGACGAAGGATTGCGGTTATATGTATGTTGATGAAGTTTGGAATGTTGTAGAATGTTTTTGGGTCAAGACTGTGGCCTTTCTAAAACACAGAGTAAGCACAACCATAAAAGATCAAGGGGAAGACTACCTAGAACCTGGAGAAAAATCACAGAAATTGATTTTCAGAAAAGTGGGAAGATATGGAATAACCTCACAGCGCCAACCCAGGATAGAGAAAGGTGGAAATTGTTTGTTCATGGCCTATACCCTGATGCAGGGTGAGAAAGGCAACGATGATGATGATGTTTAAAAGCAGCATCATGCCACACAGGATTTGAACCTCTGAGCCTCGCTTATATAGTGTTTCAATTTGTTAAAATATTGGATCCAAGTATGGGAGTGGAAAATGAAGGGCTGTGGTTATATGTATGTCAGTGAAGTTGGGAATGTTGTGGAATGTTTTGAGGTTAAGAGAATATTTGATAATGTTTTGGGGTCTATCCGACAGTTTGGAATATTTCATGTTTTAGAGAACATTTACATACTGACAAGATTGTTCGCTGTCTATTGCGGATACCCATTCACACCTGGGTAGAGTGAGGAACATTGGTTTAAGATGCCTTTACCAAGAACAAAGCGCTTGGGCAAGCAGATCCTTGAACCCTGAACTGGCTGTCTTACTATTATGAGTCTGGTGACTTAACCTCTAGACTACTTGACAGGATCAATTGCAAGCGGTTTATACCTGTCTTCCTGAATTGCTTCCTACAGTGCATTTATGACTACAATTGTTTTATACAGCTGAAACATTTAATTTTACATTTTGTTCCCAGTGGACCATTGGTAAATATGCACCTCGTTTCAATGGCTTCCAACAACACGACTCACAAGAACTGCTCAGCTTTTTACTTGATGGGCTGCACGAAGATCTTAACAGGTGAGGGCCAAGGGTAAAGGATGAGCCACTGGAGACTACGATGAAGACTCTTGTGCTAGGACTGAGTGAAATAGATGGAGAAGTAGAAGAACAGGCATAGAATGTCATCAAGATCATATGCAGGCAGTGTATTCTGAAAAAGTACCAGGAGGCATTAAAGAAAACATTCTGTTTGTATTTGTGTGCATTTCCTTTTTAAATCAATGGTCTCTAGGTTCTGGTTATTTCACTGTGAGACTGTGAGCGTGAAAAGAACAAGTGTTTTGATTAATTTATCAGAATTTTTGATTTTTTAAAGATGTATGGGTTTGAGTTTTTATAAATAAGAGACGTACGTTTTTTTAGGGCTTATGACAAGTCTGGGGAGTTTTTGTGCTTTTTTGAGCAGTAAGACCCTTACAAATTATAGTAAAAATGAAGGGGGAAAAGGTGGAAATAGGTATTTTGTTTTTTGGAATGACTTTGTTTTCGTTTTTGTTAAGTTGCTGTGCTGTGAGAAACGCGATGATTCATGTCGACACATGATAAGCTTTTACTGTTTGATATTTCATGCTTATCATGTTCAAATCTATTTCATGAAAATTGTATGCAATCTTTGGATTTTTGTCCTTATCAAATGGTCATTTCTTAAAAGAAATTGTGTAGCATGTTTTGTGTGTATCACTTTCATCTTCTTCTCTTTCGCAGGGTACATAATAAGCCATATGTGGAACTCAAAGACAGTGATGGGAGACCAGACAGAATAGTGGCCCGGGAGGTGAGGCTTATTATTTGGAGGAATTTACACACACAAAGATAATAATGTTTTAGTTGAGGCTGTGTTCAACATGTGCTGTTTCCGATGCTGTGGCAGTTAATTATTGGTCCTTATTTGAAATGGTTACTTTCATTTGATATTTCAAGTGCTTTTTAAAATTTATTTTATTAAATGCAATAACTTCTGTTCTGTAGGTTTTTTATCTTGTTTATTGCATGTGAAGTAGACATACAGGCCTTTTCTGTTGGTTAAAAAGTTATTACCTTATTGTTTTGCTTTTGCAAGTGCTTGGTGGGTGCTCTGCTGTGGTTTCTATCAAACACTATCGTCCTTATCTCTCCTTCTTCACGTTTGTTACTCTCCTGTAATACCTCTAAACTTGAGCACGTGGGTGGTTGGCAGGTGCTCTGATGTGGTTTGCTCCTTCTTTCCTATCAAACATGATGTTTGTTACTCTTTTGTAACACCTCTAATCTTCTGGCGCTCATATGACCTTATGCTGTTGCGAGCGCTGTAAAACCTTTACTAAAAAAAACAAACGAGCACTTTTATGACTATATTGTGTTGCAAGTGCCGTAAAACTCTAACTGAACTACACTAAGTAGACATACAGGTTGTTTCTGTTGGGTCAAAAGCTGTAACCTTATTGTTTTGCTTTTCACCAGGCATGGGAGAACCACTTGCTACGAAACCAGTCCATAATCGTGGACCTTTTCCACGGCATACTCAAGTCCCAAGTGAAGTGCAAGACGTGTGAGCATGTGAGCGTCCGGTTTGACCCGTACTCACATCTCTCCTTGCCCCTTCCTATGGACAGCTGTATACACCTGGAGGTCATAGGTCAGTATTCTTATGGGTTTTTTTTGGTAAGTGTTTTACGGCGCTTGCCACTGCATAAGGTCATATGAGTGCGCGGGACACATTAAACTTTTTCAGTTAGTAGGAAATTTTGAATTTTGCCCAGGTGTCAGCCGAAGCCTACTCTTATCGATTTTAGACCACCAACTTGCACACGGGCCCTCCGAGATTTTTCACTCTTGTCCGAGAAGGCTAGGTGTAGATCTTTCTACCAGAAGATCAGGGGTGTTACTGAAAGACAGCGGTAAGAAGGAGCCAAGGAGTAGCAGTAGGAGAAAGGCTGCAGAAAGAGTCGGGAGCCCAGAGGAGGGGGAAAAGGAGGTGAGGGGGTGGGGGCAGAAAAAGAAGACAAAAGCAGACGACAGCACATTGCTAGAGAGCAGGAAAGGAGGTGAAACGAGACAATTTTAGAGAAAAATTTTTTCAGTCTCTACCCGGATTCAAACCTGGGACCTTTGAATGAGAGGCCAACACCTTAACCTCTAGGCCATGAGAGCCCCCATTGGTCAGTGTTTTTATAAGCTATATTTGTCAGTTGCTCAGTTTTTATCCCACACAATTTCTTGTCTGTTTACAATGTTTTTATATCTTTTCTCTTACCATTGTGTATGTTAGTTTACACTGGTGTTATTCTCTCTTCTCCCATTTTATTAGTTGTCAGTTCACACAGTTTTTTTCTCTCTTCATCCATTCTATTATTTGTTAGTTCTCATCTTTTTTCTCTCTTCACCCTTTCTGTTTGTTGTCAGTTCTTGTTCGCATAATTTTTTTCTCTTCAACCATTCTACTGCTTGTCAGTTCATACTGTTTTTTTCTCTCATCTCCCATTCTATTACTTGTTAGTTGAAAATGCTTTTTATCCCCTTTTCCCACGCACCAGATCATCAGTTTTTACTTTTCTTTTTTCTTCCTCCCCCTATGCCGTGACTCATTCAGTTCACAAACTGGACGGCTCCGTGCCGGTCAAGTATGGTCTTCGCCTGAGCATGGAGGAAAAGTACCGCACCTTGAAGCGCGAGGTCAGCGAACTCTCTCACATTCCAGCGGAGGAACTGCTCATCGTAGAGGTCAACGGACCGGTGGTCAAGGTAGGAACTGTGTTGCTTATTTGAACATTTGTGTGTGTGCCTGGAAAAAGGTCTCAGTTGTCGGAAATTTTGGATATTGAAATAAGGGTGCATTTTTGTAGCAAATTCAGTGTTGAACACGCTAACTTCAAATTATTTTTAAGATCTTCAGTAGTTTTAAAGATATGCCTTAGTTTGTAACACAGAGTGTAAAAACATCTTTTGGAGAAAACCCCCGTTTCTAGCACATTTTGGTGAAGTACATTTTGCAAAAAGAGCCAATAGAAAAAAATAGTAAGACTTAAAATGTAATAAAATCCTTTCAACATGTTATTAAGAATTGGTTTAACGTTTTTTCTGATGGAACTAAATTTTTGACCAGGTACAATTTTATTGGCCTTTTCATCTCGCTGCTCCAAATTAGCTTTGCTTACATCAGTCTGGGACCTTTTTCAAGCACCCACACGTATCACTGGCAAACTGTTCAATTGTACTGAGCCCAGAATGAAAAATTTTATAGGAAAGAAAAAGAAGACTTTCATTCTTTTAACTATTGTAACTACATTACAAATTTTTAGGACTTTTTTTTCCAAGATTGAGAATTTGAATTTCGAAAAAATATTTCCTGAGCACATGCAATCAATACAACAGATTTATAAACTTCAATAAAAACATTTTTCAAATTTATGCCTCAAAACTGCCGATTCTCTGGATAAATCTGGATATCCAGATTCCTGGTATTATGTTAAGTGCCATGAAATTTTTCCTGAAACAAAAAGTATACGTGTTATTTATATGTCTGTGCATATGTGTTTTTTTACATATAGGCGTGTATGTCTTTGTGTCCTGTGTTGTTTACACGCATTTGTGTGTCTGTGTGTGTGTATGTTGTGTTGACATTGTGAATCTGTTTGTATTCACATCTCTGTTTATTCACATGTGTCTGGTGTGTTCTTTATAGACACTGTGCTTCCCTCCTTTACGAAAGCACTTGTGGACAATGTTGTTCATTAAAAGTACATAAAAGCCACCATGAACACTGAGTATCAAAAGAACACACAGGTAAAAGAATTGACAACTGGGTTTAGAAATCTCGGATTTCTTTTAATAGTCTTTTTGTTGCAATACGAAACAGCACAACAGTTTTGAAATTCATATTCTTCTGAAGGATTATGAAGTGAACACTTATCATCTAACAAAATGGAAACAGTACAACATTTATAACTTTGAATGAACCTTTATCAGCTATGGTGTGCTGAAAATAGTGTTAAAAAATGCAAAGTCAAGGGGATGTAATTTGAAAAGTTTTGCTTTTTCTTCCACATTAAAGACATTCACTCTAATATAGTTCATAGGCCATATAAAAGGAATCGTGAATGTTTGTCTCGACCGCCTACAGTACTACTGATGTTAGGTTTATCATGTGGCTATTCCTCCCCTCCCCTGAAGAAATAGCACGAAACTTTCCCCTCACACTGAAGAGATGTGGGTGGTTGGCGGGTGCTCTGGTGTGGTTTGCTTCTTCTTTCCTATCAAACGTCTATCGTCCTTATCTTCCCCTCCTTCTTTTTTATGTTTGTTACTCTCTTGTAACACCTCTAATCTTCTGGCGCTCAGATGACCTTATACAGTTGTGTGCGGCGAAAAACCTCTACTAAAAAAAAATCCCAAAACACTGAAGAGATCTATGTAATTTCTTTACGGGCTGTTTTCTCCTGGTAGCTTGGTTGGGTATTCCTTTTCATCTCCCCCCCTCCCCCCCCCCATGACATGACTTATCTTTGGCTCGCAGATGTTAAAAATCTGAGATAGAACCCTTACTTACTTGCAGAATATGTAGGAGTGTAGGAATAAATCCAGCCAGCAGGTGGTTGGAGGGTGCTCTGATGTGGTTTGCTGTCTTTCTTTCCTATCAAACATCTAACGTCCCGATCTCTCCTACTCCTTTTTTGTGTTTGTTACTCTCTTGCAACACCTCTAATCTTCGGCACTTATACACTTATATGACCTTATTGTGTTGCAAGTGCTGTAAAACTCATACTAAAACTTTTTAAAATCCAGCATACAGCTGGACTCGTTTGACATGAGAGATGGGACACCCTACTGCTAAACTGACAACCCCCCCCCCCCCAAAAAAAAGCCCCCACCATTGCCGCCACAATCTCATGTTTTCTTACATTTGAGCAGTAGCCCAAGCTGTGTGCGGAAGTTTTGGTTGATGAAGGAATAGATGAGCGGGTTGGCGGCGCTGTGCAGGAAGTAGGCGTAGAAAGGAATTGGGTGGGAGGGAACCAGCTTGAGGATCATGAGCAGCACGGGCGCGAAGCTGAGCACGTACACGATGGTGACCAGCAGGAGGACCTTGGCCGTCTTCACCTGGGCCACAGAGTAGCGCCTCTGATGACGCACGTGCGGATGACTGGCTGTTTGGTGACTCCTGTCTGGGTGGCTCGTGTGTTGGTGACTCGTGTGTTGGTTACTTGCGTGTTGACTCGTGTACTTTTGCTCGTGGGTGGAGGAGGAAGTTCTGGCTGTAGTCCTTTTCCACTTCCAGACGCTCGTGGAGGATGGGTATGGTGAAAGATGAGTGGCTGGGCCCACGTTGGATGATTGGGTGGAATATTGATTTTTTTTTAAAAGGAAAGATGAATTTTTGGCAATGCTGTCTACATTAATTGGTTTGGTTGGTTCTTTTGGTTGCAATGATATGGGGACTGTTCTTTTTGATAAGCTTGGAACTTCGTTACTGTCCGGTACCTCTGGGCTTGTTGCTGGGGTGTTTTGCTGTAAGCCAAGTTCTCCTTGTTGCAGAGGTTGAACTCTGTTACTTGTGCTATTGGGAATCAGGTTTTTGAAGGCTGGAGTTACAGTTTGGATGAAGTTACGCATGAGAGGAACACCCTGCCTTTTAGATGCTTCTCTCTCGGAAGATAGGTTTAATGTTGTGTTTTCAGGTACTGAATGAGGTGGTTTATCAGTAACTCTGGCTGTTTCTTGATTAACTGGTCTCTTTATGGTTGTACTTGGGACTATATATGAGCTGATATAAGTCTGAGCTCTTTCCTTGTGCAATGCTTCTGATAACTCACCCAAAAGAGGTGTAGCTATATTCTTATGTGGCTCTGGAAGAGTTTTTTCAATATCAATGTTCACTTTGATGTTCATCTCTGAAGAGAGGTCCGTCTTGCTGGTAGATGTATGGAAGGGCAGATGTATCTCGCAACTGTTTGTCATAGGTAATTCTATCGCTTCTGGGATCATGGAATTTTGTTTCTGGTGAAGGTCTTGACCACTGTTCCCTTTGCTTTGATAATTTTGCTCCGGTTCCAGGCAAAGGTCTATTCCAGAGTCTGGACTTTGTGTGAGAGGCGTGTTGGGCAGTGTGTGGAGTGGTGAGTGTTGGTCTGAGCTTGAGGTGTTTTCTTCAGTCAGTTTGTCAGCTGTAGCTTTTGGTACAACACTCTGTGATTGTGTTGTGTCTCCGGTGCTTTGCTCATAATGAAATGTTTGCTCAAGCTGGCAGCAATGGCAAACCAGGCTCTGGTTTGTTGGAGGCACATCGTTCTCTTTGTTCTGATCAGGACTTTGGGGAGGTTTCGGCGAAGACTGCAGTAGAGTGATAGCCCGGAAACTACTCACACGTGTTATTGTGGATGATTCTTGGCAGACTGAGATAGTTGGATCCGAGCAGTCGAAGACAGTAGAAGTGTTGGAAGCCAGCTTGTTACACATGCTGCCCATATCCGTTTCAGAAGACATCTCGTCCTGAATCATCTTGACCTTTGCCCTTTGGCGCTTGCCCAGCTTGAGGACGGACTTGTGATGGGCTCGCCGCTGCGCTGCTGTGAAGTGGAGTGCTCGGAAGGTTTTCCTCCTCAGCCAGCAGGTATTTCTTTTGACTGGTGTCTGAGGAGGGGACTGCTCCATGGCCATTAGTTCACCGTCTTGTGTGTACCAAGTGCTGGTGGAGGTCTTGTAAGAAGCGCACGGCTGTTTTTTCTTGATGGTCTTCGTGAAGGATTTTGCCATGCACGATATGACCCCCAGGTCGGATGCTTTGACAAAAGTCTGGTTGACAGAGTGGGTGGAGTGGGTGCCCTGAGAAGATGTGGTTGTGGTCAGCACGTTGTAATGACCGTCGTCCAGTGATGTCACTCCGTCCTCGTTGACATCATTATTATCTCGTTGACTTGGTTTCCAGCACTTCTTCTGATGGATGGACCATGTCGTATTTTCTTTCCGTTTTCTTTGTACCACACGTTGCCTCTGTCGCTGCTTTCTGTCAACATAGTCGTCATGCTGCTCGTCTTTCTTTCGAAATGACAAATTCCGCAAGTGGGAGAATATGTATGTCAGGAAGTCTGCAATGCTTTTTTTGTTTCTACCATTTAAAGTCTCTTCAGTTGGGGTAGGACTTATCGTGTTGTTGTCCCAGTCATCGCACCACACTTTTCTCTGCTCTCTATTTTCTCTGTTTCTCATATGTGCAGGTCCAGATGTCTTTTCCCTTGTCAAATTCTCCTCACTTTGTATTTGAAAACATTGTGGTAAGTTGGGTAAATTGGTTTTCTGTCCTTCAATGGAGACTGGAGAACTGTTCAGTGTCAGTCCTTCGGCTGAGAGACGGCCGTTCGGTCCCCCTTGACCGTGACTCCAAGTGTTTTCTGCGATTCTATTCAAGTTTGCTGGGACCGTGAAACCTTCCTTTGTGCTCCCTGCTCCTGCAGAACTATGGCCTCTTTCTCTGACCCTCAGATTTTTTGGTTCAGACGCCCTTCTCGCCTTCCCGGTCTCTTGAACTGTCGTATGTTTTGTTTGCCTGTCTGACCCTCTTGAAAAGAAGAACTGCGAGGTGTTTGAACGGTTCTTGCTCCAGCCTCCGGATGTCTCCGCTTCCTTCGAGTCTCTCTCTTGGCCTATTTTGTGTCTCGCGCTCTGCGAAGACCCCTTAGAGGACGCCATGGGCGAGGTGTCTAATCGCTCTTCCTTGCCTCCTCCTCGCGCCCACCGCTTCCCCTGCT